CTCAAATAGAATGTGATCCTAGACAACAAACTTTTGCAATCACATTGACAAATGAAGAGGAAATGCAAAAAGAGATCCAGAATCCAGAAGAAGTAGAGGAAGAAAAAGACACAGAGCTCCAACTGGTCAAAGAAGAGGATAATCTGAGCTTCAAGGTTAAATATCTATCCTTGTCATCTTTTGAGGTACCCCCATCAATTCTGAAAATTTTGAGGAAAACTCATAAACTTGAAAAAGACAATGACATTTCTGAAATATTCTTCAAAATTGAGGAGTCGAAAAACTTTTTATTGACCATACTAAACGATAATTTCTTCCCATTCCTCCCACCACACGAATCAATGAAAATCTGGATATTTGATCCTGGAAAGATTTCCAAAGTGGAGAGTTGAGAAATTGAGCACTCCTATGGAAGTCCTAAGAGTGAAAGTGTGAAGAAAATAAACTATCATGATCCAAGTTTGAATGACTGAAAACAATGATAGCGTCGTGCCGCGACGTTAAATGAGGCGCTTCTTGAGAGGCAACCCAAGTTTTTATTTTTATCAATTTTCATTTAAGTTGTGTGTGTGTGTTAAACATTTTGGAAAAAAAAACTCATGAAGCCTGGGCACAAAACCCGGCCGGGTAAAACCTCATACCCGGTCGGGTAGGAGGTTTATAAATACAGACCCGAACCAGAAAACCCGCCGGGCAAGGACGATTTAATAATAATAAAAAAACTAAAACCCGATCGGGTATGCTAAAGACCCGATCGGGTATGCTAAAGACCCGACCGGGTAAAAAGGCGAAAAACATTCCGTTTCGAAAAATTGAAAATCCGTCCGGGTAAATGCAAAAACCCGCCGGGTAAAATTCGAAAAAATCATTCTGCCAGCTTCAAAATCGAAAACCCGTCCGGGTAAATACAAAAACCCGACCGGGTTTACGCATTTTACCCGATTAAATAGGCCAACAGACCAGTTTCGGCGTCATCTTCCCCAAAAATTTGCCCATCTCTCTCCTTCCAAACCTCCATAGCCACGACAACCAAGCTTCCAAATCACCCAAATCCCTCACCCAATCCCAAAATAAACCACACAAATCCCTTCCCCTCATCTCCTTCATCACTACCATACCCTCAATCTCCATTTTTCTCCCCCAAATCCTCAAATCCGAACCCTAGCCAAGAAAAAATCCCCAAATTGCAATTTCTCTCAAGAAAAACACTATGCCACCCAAAAGAAGTCGTCCTTCATCCTCCACGGCATCAGTTCCAGTCCCCGAAGTCCCCGGGTACGAAGGCCTGCAATTCACCACCCAAGCTCACCGCAAAAGATTCATTGAGGAAACTAAAAGACAGGTATACCCATGTAGATTTCTCTGCATTGCTTCGTTGAAAGCTTTGTTGCTCTATGACCTGATGATCGAACTATGCAATAGGCTAGGATTAATCTCCTTAATGAACATAGCCTATAATCCGAATGAAAGAGTTATATATGAATTTTTGGGTTCTTGCAAATTTACTGATGATGCCAACGATGAGTTTTGCAGAACACTTTGGACTGCCAATTTTAGAAAAGGAGGCAAGAGGTAGGAAAATTGACACCTCAGTTGTGCATGAGATGTGGAAAAGAATGACAGGTGAAAGAATTGTTAAAACATCTCATATGTATATCAGTCATGTTCAGCACCCTGTTTTTCGAATTATCCTTAAATAGTTTGGTTATTTTGTCTTCGGAAGACCAAATAACCATCAGACTAGAAAGACCGATGTGGGCATTCTTGCTATGGCTGCTTTGATGCAAGCACCTAAATTAGATGTTGCCTCATTGATGTGGAAACACTTGAGAAAAGAGTGTTGTGATGCCACAGGAGATTTGTTTATTGGGGGTATAATACTCCATATCTGTTCTAAATTTGGGTATACTCAGAGGCAACCAATGCCTGAGTGGGGTCTTGTATGCACTCAATTTCTCCTAAATGCCCATGATTTAAGCTCCTCTCATAACTTCGGGGATAAAAGTTTTTACAAATGGCATATCAACACAACCCCACAACGGTCCTTTATCCTTCCAACTGATACAGATTTCCCCACTGACATCTTTGATGCACAATTCAGGGATGGAAGACACTTTTCCCTTCCCGGAGCAATCCCGGAACACTACATCATCCCTGAAGAAATCCCAGCACAGATTGAGCCACCCCCATACATCCCCAACCCGCCACAAAATGAACCTCAACCATAAATCGTGATCACGCCCCTCAATTTAGCATTTTTGAGCAACAAATGCTAGCCGGGATGAACCAAATCCATCTTAACCAAACGGCTACGAATGGGAGAATTAATAATCTCTATGAGGAAGTCCGACAGGCACATGAGGAACAACGCTTGAGACTCGACCGTTTAGAAGAAAATCAACGTAGGGCATTGGGACCTATACATGCCTACTTTGATAATCAGGGCTACTTCTCATCCATACCAGTTCAGCATCAACACCCTACATGGTATGACCCCTCTTTTTGGGGTAATTTTGGTGGAGCAAGCGGGAGCGGAGGAGGCTATGGCGGTGAGGGCAACGGTTATGGTGGCTACCATGACGAGGCTAATGACACGGAGCACTAGGGAAAGTGCTTGGACAAAGTAGGAGGGCACTCATTTGGTATGTACACCTTCATTTTCTACCATGATAACTTGCATTATTTTCTTTTTAAAAAAAACAAAAAAAACAGAGGAAAAAAATAAATAAATTAAATAAAAACAAGAAGAGAATGCTAGTTAGATTGAAAACCCAAACACGGGCAATCTAAGCAAAAAAGGGCTTCAAAAAAATGAGTGAGCGGTAAGGATGGAAAAATAAAAGAGAGATGCTAGGATGAAAACCTGAAAAGGCTCCTAGACAAAATGAGAGATATGAGAGAAATATGTATTTTTTTTTTTTTGCAGAATATCATCTCTTGGAGAAAGAAGAAGAAAAAGGAGGAGGAGGAGAAGGAGAAACAAAGAACATAGAAGACCAAAAAACCCAAGAAAGTGTTGTTTTGTAACTCATTCGCAACCCTTGGTGGTCTTGTGTTCTTTCTTGCTATTCTTGAACTTATGATCTTTTGTTAACACTTGTACAAACATTTGGCTTTACTCGAGGACGAGTAAAGAAACTAAGTGTGGGGGAGTTGACATTCATGTAATTTCCATGTTTATTTTTGTATTTTAAATTAGTTTTGATTGACTTTTACTTTGGAAATTACACACTTTTGGTGTAATAGTTTAGTTTGTAAAATAGTTGTAATTTGTTTAGATTAGGGACTTTCTGAGCTTAAACTAGGTAAAGATCGTCAAAAGGATCCTGGAAGGTTCAAGAAAAGTGCAAGGGAACAACAAAAAGTGAAAATTTGGGAAAATAGTCAAAAACCCGACCGGGTTTTCCAAAAACCCGATCGGGTTTGAGTTGACCCGAAGATCAAATTTGATTTGGAGGCAATTTAACATGCAGAGCGAAGATTTGGCAAAGATTTGTCTTTTACCCGATCGGGTAAATCAAAAACCCGATCGGGTAGATGTGACTAATGAACATTCCGGGCAATTACTCAAGAAACCCGATCGGGTTTCTGAAAAACCCGGTCGGGTAAATGACCCTGCTACCTCCAAACACCTAAAAATACACCTCTTTTCCTTCCTATTTAAATCCAATTCCTTTGTACATCTAAGCTCAGTATAGAATAGTTCTTTCTTTATATTTTATATCATGTTTAGTCTCCAAATGAGGAGCTAAACTCTTCCATCTTGGTTTTGCTACTTTGAAGCTTAATGAATTTGTAAGTTGTGAGTTATTTTCTTTAATCTTCTTCCTTGAATATTAATTCTTCCTTTAAAATACTATTTCTATATCAAAGTTGGGGAGTTTTACTAAGATGACAATTAGTTAACATCTTGACATTGGTTATAGTAATAGCTATTTCTTCCTCTATGTTAATATTGGGGAGTGTTACTAAGATGACAATTAGTCAACATCTTGATATTAATCATAGTAGGATTCATATTCTTTAATATTCTTCCTTGAGTATTAATTAATTCTTATTCATATTTCATGTTAATATCTTAAACATTACTTAAAGTATCAACTAGTATTGTTTCTCATATTAATTATTACTAGAATCAATCGGTTAATACGCTTGTTATTAATCCGGTTCTTTCAACGGTAATAAACTTGGAATATTAATACATGCATCTCATGGTTAATATGCCAAGGGGAATTAATTATATTGATTAAACCAATAAACCGCTTGTGTTGAGGTTATCAATCTCAATCGTTTTCATTTCAAGTTTATTGCTACTATCAAGTTAATATACGGCGCTTGTTCTATATTGACTCGATAGTAAGTTTTATTAATGAACGCATCTCGTTATTAATAACTACCCTCGATGAACTGGATATACTCCTCGATTGAATTTTCGAGAGGAAGATAGTTAAAGATATAACCGGGATCGACGGACATTTCATTAAGTGGATAAAAGCAGAACCAAGTCCTCATCTCATTGAATTAAACTCATATAGGTTGTTTATCTTAGTATTTTTAAATCAAACAAATCTAAATCCCCCTTGTTACTACTTATATAAAAGAAAAGTATTCCTTTCCCTGGGGATACGAACCTTACTTCGTTATACTACGTATATTCGTTGTATTGTATTTATTTTGAGTGCACCGCACGACAAAGTGCACGTCAGTGCTTTGGCGAGAGTGATCTAGGTGCGGAGATAAGAAATTTCAGCTCTGAGTGTATTGGAGTTCCTTGTAAAACCATCATCTGGTTCCAAGACAACATACCTCGTTGGTAGTACTCGTATCTTTTTTGTGTTTTCTTTTCATGTCACAATATATTAGTTTTTTACCGTGTTATCTAAGGGAAAAATTGTGACGTAGACCGCGCGTCACGTATAAGCCACGTTAGACCACGTGTGCACCGCGTCAATTGGTGATCTGCTAACCGATGAATTACTTGTGAAAAAACGAATTTTACAAAATTACTTTGTAGAAGGATGTAATTGATGAAAGTTAAAGTACGGTAACTTAATTAAGTTTTCGTACAAAGCAGGAGGAACAATTTGACATTTTTCTCTGGTCCTCCAACGCTTCATATGTTAAAGAAAAAGGAACACAAACTCATTTCTCATGTCATCAGTGTGAAAAGGCATTAAGCGTAATACAATGTAATCAAAACCCTCTCAACAAAATCTGAGAGTTATTGGGTGGACGAATTTGGACTTCCATCACTATGGCACCACAAGCTTAGCATCTGATCGAGGCTTGGGAAGAAGTGTGATTGATAATATTCCACTGGTTGCCGCGGCTATTGCACCCACTACAAAGGCCGGCAAATTCCCACCTCCAAACAATGCATCCCATGGCCCGCTTAAGAAGGATACAAACATCTACACATTCAATAAGCAAGTTTTCATTAATCATCATTCCTTTTGATATGATGTTTTAGATACTCAAACATGTATTCCCTCCACTCTAACGATCCTTTTTACTTGGTCATCTTTAAGTTCTTTAGATCTAACTTTAATCGGGAATGTATTTATATACACAAGTATTTAAAAATAATGAGAGTTTTCTTTGTTAAAAATAAAACGAAATACGTGATATTATATATCATAAAAGTATAAATTTATTACGTGGTACATCCTATTTGGTATCCCCAAAAAATATTCGTTTAAACGAGTGATTCAAGTTTATTATCATTATTAGAAAACTCAAAGAGGGCTAGTTGGAAAATGACAAAGGAAGTAATTAACATTTTACTTTACCCGTTATTAGTTCAATAACTTTATACATTTGCAGATTTTATCATGTAGGTTATTTTTTGGTCCACGTTAAGAACTTTTTTAGCGGCATGTACACTGTTCATGTTTTTCATTATTATGCATTCTACTGAAAAAATTCTTAATGTGTAAATTTATACTACGTAAGTTAGAGAACTATAACTAGAGGAAGTAAAGTTACATAATAAAATTACAATAATACATTGAAAATGAAGTCACATTTTGATTAATATAAGTTGTGACAATGACGTACCTGTGGTACAACAATGGCAAGATTGAGGACACCAAGCGACAGACCAGCTGCAAATGATAATCAATTGGAATAAAAGGCGTGTATGTCATTTGTTATATATACGGAGTACGGTAAATATGACCGCCAATTAATAAATTTATAATATTACTCTTTGTTCTTATTTATTTGATTTCTGAAGTGATCTATTTGTGAAATAGGTAACTAAGCTTTAGTGTAAGTTGATCATCATTGAGAAAATTTTCTAGGTACGTCATTGAGTCCATGCACCCCCAAATAAGTTTCTAGGGTCAACCCCCTGGACGTGGATAATTGCTAGAAATTGATAGTTAATTTTCAAACAACTGTTCTAGCACAAACTACAAATTATTATTCAATTTACCCATTTCTAAAACTTTTTTGTACAGATAATAAAAAAAATAGTTTTTTTATACCGTACTAAAAGGTATATTAATAGTAAAAGAGTTGACTATAAATAGCTAGGGCCTTTTTGAAATTTCATCAGGAATTTACATTTTTACATTTTCCAACAGTAGTAATGTGAGTCATAGTAATTTATGTTTAATTTTTAGAGTTCAGTACCCGTCCATGAAACAATAATCATAATAACTTTAGACATTTTTTATAAATAAATTTTATTTCAGTAACATTTATAAAGATCTCATATAGTGTTCTTTTAAGAGTAACACTTTGACTTTTAAACAATGCAAACACATATCTTTGACCAAACTTTTTGATTAATAAATGTAGTACGTAATTTGAAGTAATATACTACATGAATGTATTTTTTTATATAAATATATTTATATTAGTTTTATATTCATAAAAAGTTATAAAACATTATTCCCTTCATCCCATTTTAGTTAGCCAAATTTAGCTTTTTCAAATGAAGGATGTCTAACTTTGACTGTATATATAGAAGTATTGAAAATATGAAAATAATATGAAAATATTCTTTGTCAAAAATACTATCACAAAAGTATAAAATAATTAAAAGTATTTTAACTAGTAGTATTAGTTAAAATAATTGGTAAAAAATTTATCGCATTTGTCTGAAAAAGTCAAAGATGTCTAACTAAAATGAGATGGAGGTAGTAACTTTTATAACTTTTAATACTATTTAATTAAATATATTAATGCATGAAGTCCAAAGGTGGTCCTTGCAAGCAAATAAAACTTTCCTGGTACCATCATTATTTTCCTCAAAATAACTCTCATGCCTCCTATAAAAGATTAAGTACGGAATGTAGTTCTATTAGTATGTTTTAATTTTAATTGAATAGAATATTTTTTTGTCTTGTATGTTTAAGTTAAGTATGATTTGATTGGAACTAGTCTGATCTATATGCACTTTATTACAATGCAAACCTGGTGTAATCTGATCTCTATATGTATGGTCCAGTGTTATCTAGGACTGAAACATACGTAGTAATATTACGAAGTATGTAGTTTAATGATAATTACCGCTGCCGGAACCAGCATCACTGGAAAAGATGCACGCCAGAGCGAACGGAATGCTAAAAGTCACCGCAAGAGGAATACCAAGAATGCAAAAGACGAACAAAGCTCCGGCCTTAACTCCGGCGGTTGGTGGAATGACGCGTCCGACACCGTCGAGCCTTCTTGAGCGGGTGGCATACTTGGTCACCACCACCGTCATGGACAACCCGAAAGCCAAAATAAAGTTAACCCCGCCCCACAACTTCTTAACATCTCCGAGGTGACGCGCGAGGAGCTCCACCCCAATGGACATAAACCCTAAAACAACTGACTGGAGCATCAGCCCGAGCGCACCCGCCCGCACGCCGCTGTCGTACAGCCCGCCGTCCCCGACTTCTCCGCCGTACACCTCCTTGGCCATCCAGTCAGTGTCGTACAAGAGGAAAGGGAACCACGCGATCCAGTTGAGGGCGGTGACGAGGAGGAGAATCCACATGGACTTGGGGAGGTTCTTTAGGGCGTCGAAAAGTTCCCCGAAGAAGGGCACCTTCGTGGACTCTTCCTCCTCGTAGATGCTGCTCGAGAAGGGGGTTTCAGTGACAAATGTCACGGCGGCAGTGGTTATGGAGAGCAAGAGGAAGGCGGAGATGATGAAGCAACTCTTGAGGTTGGCGCAGTAGTTGTCGCATGCATCTGTACGGGTGAACGGAAACATCATAAACAAGCGGGGATTGGAGCCCGCGGCGTAACCTAAGATGTTTCCCACCGCCATGAAGAAGGAGAAGAGTGTGTTTGCCATTCTTGTTTTGTCGGCACTTCCGTCGGAGAGATCGGACAACAGCGCTCTGCATGGACCCTAGACATAGATGTAAAAGTTAATGTAAGTTTTGTAAATAGAAATTGCTTTAAAAACGACTAAAACTTGGACAAAATGCACAAATAGGACTACATGTATTTTATTACTGAAATAGGACTTATTTAATTCTATTAAAAGTATAAAACTTCTCATATTAAGAGTGAATAGGTCCTAGTTTAGGAAGAAAACAATGACAGTCATATAGGTGTCCTTTGTTCATGTTTTAGTCCTATATAAGACATTTTCTCATGTATAAAACACCTCTTTAGGAATGAGGGCATGAGGAACGTATGACCTAAATAAACGTAACTCACAAAAATGTGAATTTTATATTTCTGTGAATATGATACTCCGTATGAAATGATGATAAAATGAATTTAGTGGATAAGTATATGACTAATTAATGCTAAAAGATAAGGAGTACGTATTTTTCTCAAATATAATGTCACTGAGTGAGCTTTTTAAATTAAAAAAGATTTTTAATTTTGAAAAAAACTATTAAAAATTGTTAAATTATGACAAACATATAACTAAAAGATTTACAAACTTCTTAAATATCAGGGAGTACAAAGATTATAAGGTAAAATTTATGTCTATATGGAGCACAAAAAGATCCTTATTGTACGTACTCCACAGTATTGAATGCATCTTACATGTTACATTTATCACATCGATACATGTTACGTTGTTTTAATAGGAAAGTAACAAAGTTTTTTGAGACAACCAAAAGTGAAAATTGGCAAAATCTAATGGGACGGAGGGAGTACTACGTACTACCCATAACAAATTACGTTACTATCCAAATAGACAAAACTACACAAAATAAAATGGGTATGTTTTATTCTCACTATAAAACTTACCAAGTACTCCTATTTAATTTGATTGTGTTAAAAGTATAAATTTCTCCAATTAATTAAAAAAAAGTAAAAATTTCTCTAATTAAAAGTAAATGTCCCTCATGACCCTTAACTTTTATAAGAAAAAGTAAGACCACTATCTATGCATTTTGTCGTAGACTTTATAATGCTTGGTAAATTTTGTCTAATTTCATTCAGACCCAAAAAATAAGACCACTATCATTTCCGAAAGTTATAATTAATACTCCCTCCATCCCCTAACTTTGTCCCGTTTTACATTTTTCGTTTATCTCATTAAGTTTGTATCATACCATATTTGGTAATATTTAGGTAGTTACAATTTATTCTTACTTTATTATTCGTATTTTATCAATTCAATAACAACCATACAATTTCACTCTCTTAAAAATTGGGTCACACTCTTTGGTTCCAAACATAGTGAAACTCAGGTAGTACCACCATTTATGTCTATAAAACACATCTTTAGCAAAATCAACATTTATAATCTATAAAACACATCTTTAGGAATCCACGCTTAACACTAGTACTCCCGATAGGTTATATACATACCTGTAACATGTTATTGGCAACGTCAAGTATCCAAAATCCAACTATGAAAATCGTAATGGCTCGAGGTTTGGATGCTTTTCCAAGGGGGTCCCCGGCAGAGTGACCTATGTCCGCCGCAAATCCGATGAGGAAGACAGCGACGATGACCAGTACTGCACCAGAGGCGATAAAAGGTCGGCGACGTCCGAACCGGCTGGTGCAATTATCACTGTAGTAACCAGCTAGGGGCTGAACGATTAGGCCAGAAATTGGACCGCAAAGCCAAATGAAGGAGGAGTATTTGTGTGGGATTCCTAGCAGCTGAACGTAAGGGGTCAGAAGGGATAGCTGTAGAGCCCACCCAAACTGTACTCCGGCGGCCACCGCCGACACCATTACGATCTTCCACACCGGCGTCTCCGCCTCGGAGTAATCTTGCTGGACTTGGAATGAGGATGATTTGGCATCGTTATTGGATGAGGAACTACCGGCCTCCATTATATTTTAATATAATTGTACTTTTTTATTGCTTTGGATTTTCTACATGCATGTAACCATGCAAGTGATAAAAATATTATTTGTGGAGTTGTTTTTGTTTTTTGTTTTTCTTTGAATACTTTATTCTATGTTGATCACTAGCTCTATCCCAAATATAATATTAGTTCTTGGAAGACTATATATAGAATTTACTTGTACGCAGGTGTTTAGTTGCAGGAGCTATTGTAGGTTTTGTGTGGATGAACCTGTGAAGCTTTGTTACAATGATAGCCTAAAAAATTTCTAAACATGACACTTGTTTGTTTAAAAATAAATTTACATTTGTTTTGAACATTTCTATGGCAGTTACTCCCTATTACGTACATCACATGATCATCACTTTTATATTTTCTCCTTTTTCTCAAAATAAGCTTCTCATGTAGTTTAGATATCTCAATATTTGGAATACTTTTGATAGCCGTGTTTTGGTTCCGGTCTTTTATCCTTAAAATTTCTCATCTAGCGAGTCAATTTGATTTGTATGAGGTGGCTGATCGACTTTATGTCTTTTTTCTAATGCTTACGATCGGGTCTGTAATAATTGTCTGAACATTGTTTTGTATGCATTATTGATATATTACTATAAAACCTGCTCTTTTATTTAAAAAAACATAATGTTATAGGATTGTTGTACACATTACAAAAAGTAAGAGTTTTGTTACTATAACAATATTATATACTCCCTCCTTCCCTTAGAACTTTGTCAAGATTGATCAGCGCACTACTAGAGAAACAATTTTTTGAAAAATGATGATCTGGTATATATTTTCTTACATTAAACACATTTCTAATGTAGAATTTTCTAATGTAGGGTTGTGAACGAACCAAATCGAGTCGAATAGTGTGATATTTATATTTGTGTTTAATTTGTTTAATTTTTTCGAATACGAATCCCAATTCGAATATGAAATGAATCTTAATTTCAATTTGTATTTGTATGTGTTTAAAAATATGAATAGTTAACGAATCACATACAAATTTTGAATCGATTTGATCATAAGTTAAATTTTAGTCAAATATCACTTTAAAATAACTTTTACTATATTTTTTATGTTATAAATGCATACTTAATATGTTTTTTTTATAATTTAATTTGTAACGTTACATTTTTCTTTAAAATTTAATGGATTGGTGCCTTTTTAGGTTGTGCACAATACACTAAAGTGAATCCATTTTATAATTAATATACATTAATTAATCTATTTCAAAGATTTTAAAATAAACGCTAACACACACACATTAGAAATGATACTTGTAATGTGTGAAATAAGTTGATAATTATATATATCAAAGTCAAATGAATCTAATTTTATTTTAGATATTTAGCATTATATTGATGATAGTAAAAACATTAGTGGAAATATAGTTTATACTATATGCACACACACACATATACTGGGTAGTTGATGCGCACACACAAACTAGATAGTGGATGTTGTACATGTATAAATGAATATATCTGATTATTCTCCAAATCAAATACATAATTAATTATTTGCATTCATATTCAAAAGACATTTGATCCAAAAATCTAATTAGCTATATTGTTTATGGAGATGCCATTAATAATATATATTTGAAGAATACAATACAAGAACTTATAAATATTTTTATCAAAAAGCCTTAACTGGGATCTAGAGTATTAGTTTTTGGGTACCTATGTTTAAAGTTTTGAGTACAAGTTGGTTTAACCGACTATGACTCCCACACTATCTAGCATACGGCCCAGGCTAGTGTCCTCTATTTCTAAAACCTCTATTATCTGAAATCTCTGTTATCTGATGAATAAAGTAACTAGAACTTTGTTCAAAATTATTTTATTTGTATCCTTAGCTAGAGTCTATTCCTATGAGTAAAGGCTGAAATGAAATGAATAAAGAATTAAGCATTGAGAAGGTTGAATTACTTTTTATGGATTTAATAAGGATTTTTGTATGATTATTCCTTTAATGGATATACGCTCTCTGCTTCATGATTACTTCCGTATGATAAGAAGTTACCATAATCGATTTTGAAATTATGGAATGACCTGAATTAAAGAAGAGTTGAGTGAGGATTATATGAAATTATTTTTGAATATGATGTTTTGATTAGCTTCTTATGATTTATTTTACTATTTAGTAAATAACAATTTATAAGTATGAAGTAAATTATATTTAAAGATAATATATACCAACTCCGTTCTTAAATAACTGCAGCATGTGAAAATTTACACTATTCACATATTCTACTTTGATTACGTTTTATTCATTAATATATTAATAATTCATTTACAAAAAAAAATGCTAATTAAATTCGTTTCATCCTTGTTAGTAATATTTTATGGTGTCCAATCTAATTAAATATCTTTGTATTTGTGTAGTTATTAATTAAACGTGTAATACGGGGCACAAATGTGTATCAGTCCGTTAGCTTTCTTGTAACCTGTAAGTTAGCCAACTTCTCCTATAAAAGGAGGTTAACTTATGGGAACCCAAAAGGTTAGAGGCTTTAGAGAATAGAGGCGAGATAGAGAAAGAGAGTAGGGTTTGTCGCTGCTCTCCTTCTCCAGGGAGAGCAGCGGCCAGTTCATACGGTATAACAGATTCGATTCTCATCTTCTCCATATCTTTCTTTCTGCTTCTTCACTACTATGGTTGTTTGATTGTTTAGTTTTTTTGGGACTATCAATCCTATGTTATCAAAATCCGTTTAATTTTTTTTACTAAAAGAAAATTAATTAATTTAATATATTAATGCTCAAAGTTATCCATTGACAAACGTGAAAAGTTGAATATTGCATTGTCAAAGTAGTATTAAGTAAGTTTGACCTCTATGGTGATAATGCACAATATGGTTTGCTTTCATGTGCATGTGTACTTAAATGGACCGCAATAATATCAATACTTCTTTGTCAACTATTTGAGTAACAAATATAAATATATATTTGATATTACATGTTATATACTACGTATATTATAGTACCACTCAGCAATCTTATTGCTGATGTAATCATCCCCGCTAATCTTCCACCAAGCCACCCTGTTCTTTGATAGCCCGCAGGTATATTCGATATCTTCTCCTTTTTCGTTTGTTTTTCTTTCTATTTCATTTCATTTGTAGTGTTAGAACGAAAGAGAAGTTTTGGGCTTATTCTCATATGCGACGAAGTACCCCTCCAGCCCTGTAGAGGTATTGTCGTGAATTTGCTTCATTAAGTTGTTTGTTTGGTAGTTTTTTTTTCTTCACTTTTTCCAAACTTGTATTTTATTTCTGCTTCAATTTTTCTTTAATTCTGAAAAATTGAAAGAACATCAAATGGTTCTATAAAACTTTATTTCCTTTTTCGATCTCAAGCTCACTTTATTCTTTTATCCAAACAAAGCTAATCACAGGATAATTGATTGAATTACAGATATTTCTGGCTACGATTAGCTTAAATTGCATAACAAACATAGTCTTACTGATATGCACTAATTAGTAGTGCATAAGTGTATGTTTTTATGTTGGATTTGTGTGTATTGTTTATCGTTTTATTTAGTTTGTAAACACTTGTGTGATTTTAGTTGTAATTGTATTTTAATCTTCATTTGTAAGTTGTAAAGTAGATTTAGTATTTATGGTGTTGGAAAAGAGGACTTTGAAGAGAAGAAAACAAGAAATTTGACTGCCCAGGAGCAAAACCCGACCGGGTAGAAATCCCCACCCGGTCGGGTAAGATTTAACAACCGAAGAAGCAAGGTAATTGCCAGACCCGGTCGGGTCCCCTACTTGACCCGGTCGGGTCAGATGTGACCCGAGGCAAAATGACGTGCGAAGATCACCACAACGTGGCGGATTATCTGATTTTGACCGGACCCGATCGGGTAAGTACTTGACCCGGTCGGGTACCCGGCCAAAGGTGTTGAAAAACACCTATAAATAGCACACTTTTTCTTCTCTAAAAATCATCCCTCTTCCATACTCCTAAGCTCAGTTTAGAATATCATTTCTTTATATTTTTCTAGCTATATTTAGTCTCCAAATGAGGAGCTAAACTTCCATTTCTTGGTGTTGCTCTTGAAGCTTGTTGATTATTAAAGTTGTGAGTTATTTTTCTCAAACTTCTTCCCTTGAATATTAATTATTAGTTCTTTCCTTAATACTAACTCTATATTAATGTTGGGGAGTGTTGCTAAGATGACAATTAGCTAACATCTTGACATTAATCATAGTAGTATTTTCTTCCTCTATATTAATGTTGGGAGTGTTGCTAAGATGAAAATTAGTTAACATCTTGATATTAATTATAGTAGGATTCATCTTCTATAATAATATTCTTACTTGAATATTAATTAATTCCTATTCATATTTCATATTAATATTTTGAACATTACTTAAAGGATCAACTAGTTTTGTTTCATATATTAATTATTACTAGAAACGATCAACGAACCGATGGTTAATCGTTGATGGTTTCACAAGTAAGTAACTTCGGTTTATTAGTGCACGGTCGTGGTTAATAAACTTAAGAGGGATTAATTTTGTTGGTTAAACCGAAATCGTTGTGTTGAGGTTATCAATCTCAATTGATTTCATCAAGGAGTTAGAAAGGTTAAATGCTACTATTAAATCGGTATAAGGTGTTGTTTTATACTTGATTAATAGTAAGGGTTATTAATGAACGGTCGTTGTTAATAACTACCCTTGATGAAGTGGATATACTCCCCGATTGAGTATTCGAGAGGGAATAAGTTATAGATATAACAATGATCAACTAAAATATATCAACAAGTGGAAAGTAGCAATGCCAAGTCCTTTTTATCTTTGAATTAAATCTCATATAAGTCATCCATCTTAGTTTTTAATTAAATTAAATCAGTCAATCAAAATCCCCCCTTTACATACTCCTTAAATTAAAAAGAAAAGTATTCCTTTCCTTGTGGATACGAACTCTACTACGCTATACTACGTATTAGCGCTGGTATTGTATTTATTTTGACGCACCGTGACAAAGTGCTCGTCACTTACACATAATATATTGATAAGAGATATGGTTTAGTAAACTCTTGATAATAAAAGATATACTTGATGATTTTGTGGTTCCTGTTTTCAGAAGTTTGTGATTGATGAAAGCTTAATCTTGAAAAGTG